GTAGTGGAGAGCAACTGGCCAAAGTACATAGAAACAACCTGCAGCTTCTTTGTAACCAATCATTTCCTTTCCTTAAGAAGATCTAGGGGAGAGGGGACAGCATATTCCAGGCTATGTAGATGCATTCAAATGTAAACCCTTTTCTACTTGACTTAGAGTATTGGGGCTGACTTTCAGAGCTCGCTGCTCTCAGAGCACGTGTGCTCCCCTCAGGGGTTTGCGGGAACTTTGCGCTTGCCTGTAAATGTAGTGAGACGGTGATTTCCACAACTGCTCTACTCTGGCTTGAATTGAGGTTGTTCCTGCTTGTCTCCTTCTCTTTTGTCACGCTCATAAATGAGCCCCTTATTTGTGCTGTACAGTAACTTGGCAGCTGAGGTGCTTCAGCTGCCAGAGCTCATCAGGAAGAAACCTGCACTGCAAGGGCGGTGCTGCAGACGAAGGCTCAGCTCTTAGCAGCAGAGCTGCATGGCACAGGCACGTACTGTGCTAGCCTGAGCCAAATATCGTAAACTTCATCGAGCACCAAACGTGCAGTGCTTGCTAGGTGGAAGCAGTACAGGATCTAATTTGAGAGAGCAGAATAGCAATTAAAGATTAACTTAACCTCTCTGCCTCTCGACTGATGTGGCTATAACATCTGTGCACAAATGCTCCTGCTACAGCAGCAGAAGTATTCGACTTTCCCCGTGTCGCATGTCCTTTGCTGTGGTAATATTTTGTGGGAAGGGGGCTGGGAGCATCGCAGAGTCCTGTGACAAAAATAAGTTAAACTCTGAGCTGTGATGGGACTCCTTTGCTGTTGCTAACAAAGCAGACCTCTGTCTGCCTGTCCTCAGACACGTGTCCTGGATTTTGTGCTCCACATACTGGTCTTGCTGTCATCGCTGTTGCTAGCAGAACGACAGGCCTGAGAGGAGGTGGTGGAGGGGGCAGGAAGCCATCCTGTGATGATAGTTTAGCCTGTGTGGACTCGTCTTGTTTCTCCTGCACAGGGATCCCTGGGGTCCTGGATTAATTGATGCCTTGCTGGAGTTAGTTCTCTGTTCAGGTCCTGGGGCTGAAGCTGGGCTAAGAAAGACCCAGGATTAACTACACAGAAGCTAACTAGGCTGTGTTGGCCATGAAGTTTTTCATGGCAGTAGTGCCTCAAAGCAGCAAACTGACAGATGTGCATAAATAATCCTGCGTATCTTTACAGGATGGGAAATGAAAGGCTGGGAGAAATGCCACTTTGCAACTTGATGGTACAGTTTCTTATGAAATTCTCTTCAGAGCTGGCATCAATCTGGAGAATGACAGGAAAAATGTGGAGGTGTATGGGTAGGATAGTTGAAAAGGCTGGGTGTAGCTGCTTGGGGAAGAAAATTCAAATGGTCAAAGTAGTTGAGGTGGAGAAGAAAAGGAGGAAACAATCGACTGTGGATTATCAGTGGAGTTTAAAAGTTGCAAACTTCATGTATTACACCTTTGCACATATTGCTGCGGGATGTTAAGATTCAAAAGTTTGCCAGCTTCAAAAGGCAAATAGTTACCTCTGCCACAGTCCACAAGAAGCACTGGCTAGCAAGACTCGGTGTTTAAGCCAGGCCTTCATGTCCGCGTGTAAGGATGAGAGCTGTACTGCACAGATTGTAGGTCACAACTCTTTCTGAAGTGACTGGTCTGGCTTGCTGAAGAAACTACTGGATCATGTGGCCCATGGATATGCCCAGCTGTGATAAATCCAAGCTTGTCTGCTTCCAAACCTGACCCATCTCAAATTGTGCTGAGCTTCTACTTTACTGTACAGCAGTGTTGCTAGTTTTGTGACTGCTTGTGGTAACTTAGGAGGTGAGGTTTTGAGGAGTTTCATTAATGCAGTGAATAAATGTAAGTTTAATTTTGTAAGGATAATTGAAGAACTAGAACTAGAAAATGTGTAATGTTTCAGTATGCAGAGCCCTGAAGTATCTTAAAAGCTCAAAGCAAAACCCTAAAAACCTGCTTCTCTTTTGGCTTGAACACTGTACCTTGAATTACTTCTTTATGGCTAGGAGCTATGAAAGCGGTATATCTCCCTGTGGCAAGAGGAGACTGGTGCATAATGCTGTAATGCACAGTTGGGTTTGGGTTGTGGGTTTTTTTATAAAACATTGAAGATGGTATGCCTTGAGCAAATAGCTGGGAATAGAAGAGCCCCGAAAGCAATCTTTTATTCTTGTCGCCTCAGACAAGTCTTCTTCCACACCAACTCTTTTCAACTTGTTTGACTACTAAATTATCTTAGATAACTATTGCAAAGATCCTAACTGCTCTGCAAACCTCTGCTTTCCTGACTAATCAAAGTAGTGTGGACAGGGTTGGAAAATAAGCAACATGCAGCTACTTAGTGCTAGGAAGCAAATCAGCCAGTACTGGGAGTTGTGTCTCCAGCTTGAAAATAAGGACGATTGTACCTGGGACCAGACATCTTAAGGTAGGAAGTCTGATGCCTTGTGCAGGAGGTTACTGTCTAGCCTAGTTCTTGGCTAGGTTGAAGAGTAGAAAAATACTTGTATCCTCCACCACAGACACTCACCATTGCCTAGGGACCTGGCTGCCTAAATGGTCTGGTTAGACTGCCAGGCTCCAGTTTGTGATGCTATTAAGAGGAGATGTGGTCATGGTGAAGCCAGTAAGCAAGCCAGCTGGATGGGAAAACTTAGTCTTAGTTATCCTCTCCAAGCACAGTCTTACGAGTTGGTGCCTGCCAGAACTAATGACCCGGGAGAATGTCTCTCCTGCAGAGGAAAGGAGGGGAGCACGCAGTTTGAAGTAAGCAACATTTGTGCTGTCCCTGCTCAAATACTTGCCCCTTTTCTGAGATGCCATTAAAGGGCATGATAGTCATTGGGTTACAGCTGTTCTGTGATGGCAAGCTGGCATATGATTTGTGGTAGGAGAGCTGATCTAACATGAGCAACGCTTGTTGAATAAACTTGCTGTCATTAACCAAGGGTAAAAATCTGCTAATAGAGAGCCTTCACTCACTTTTCATAGGTTGGTAGTGATGCAGCTGTTGTGTAGAGCATCTGTGCTGGAACAGAACCAGCTCATAGCCAATGGTTGCACCTGGAGGGACTGGAAATGAGAACGCCACGTGCTTGATATTTGGTGTAAGTATGGACCAGAAACTATTATAGAAGCTTTCCCCGGCTAATTTGAAGGACCTGCTTTTGGGTGCTGCTGGCTTTATGGACTCTGACATGAGGATTTAACTGGATAAAAAATAACTGAGATGATGCTAACCTGGCTGTGCAGTAAGAGTTCCTTAGGTGCAATCACTGCTATATAGATGGGATTTTTAAGATCAACCTGTAGCACGGCTGGCTGAGACTGTATTTCTGTGTTGCTTTCTCATTTCAATAGCATCTTGCTAGGTGCTGTGCAGCGATGGGCTTAGCATAGCCTCTAGCTATGGCATCCTTTGAAGTTAGAGCAGTAGTGTTGTCTTCAGCCAAGGAGTTCAGACTCATGCTCTCCTGTGGTAGTTGGAGGGTGACCATTGCTTGGTGGGAAGACTAGCCAGATATAATAAGGCCCACATACCAGTTTAGCTCCAGAGTTAACCTAAATATTTAATAGGATTAAGCAAAAGCCTTTGATTGAAAGAAAAGAACGTACTGGGCTCCAATGACCCTCGGTACACCCAGGCTGGCAGCAGGGAGCTGTTGGGACTGGCTCTTCCCAGGTCATACTGGTATCCCCAGCATAGTACTGCTCTTTGGCTGTTGCTTCTTAAAGCAGCATGGTCTGTTTTGAGCAAGAAGCTTGCTAGAGCAAATTTTAAGGAACTTAAAGTCCTCTGTTGACTATGCAGGAAACATAACTGAGCTTGGAGGAGGAAGAGGCAGCAGGAAAGCTGACCTCAGAGATGTCCCTCCACCAGTCCTCATGTGTTACTTAGCTGTGCTGCTTCCCCAGGAGGAGGCTTACTCCGGTAGCAGGGATAGCCTGTGGGACTTTTTTCTAGCTTCTGAGCTCTTTGCTGTCAGGCAAGTGATAATTGAACTAGCTTGCCGTAGTACAGATCAATTTATTCCCAGGGTCCTATAGCACAAAGACCTGATGAGGATCCATTGCTGATAAGCTGCCTAATTTGCAGTATTAAGAGCAACCTTGTCATCTCTTCTCCTGCTTTACATTGCTCAATTACCATGACTGAAGCTGAGTTAACTTCAGATACATTAAAGTACCTTTTCTCTGTGGTGAAGATCTGCCCTGGAGTTTGTCTCTTGCCCTCTCTGTATTGCTTGCTAGCTGATCCATGGGTGCGTGCAGTGTGTACCAACAAACTGAAACCAGCATCCTATCTTACCAGTGCTCCCACACTGCCTCAAACTTTTGAGATTGGCTTTGGAAACTGGGACTTGTTGAAATCTTGCCTGTCTTGATCTTGCAGAATTAGTAGTATGTAACCATGGAGCAAACTTGCTGGTCCTCATAAGCTGTCAAAGCATCAGGTGCCAAGTTGCACATAGGAAGTTTGATTTACTGCTGCCTTTTAAATGGACCCCTTGGCCTTGCCTTTCAGTGTTCCTGCAGCTGCTTGGGGGTCATGAGGAGATGAGACTTTTGGAGGGAGGGAGCTGGCCTTGTGAGCTCCTTCTTCGGATAAGCACATCCTTTTTCTCTGCTGGGAGTGGTAGTAGCTTTGGTGTTTTGGTTCATGCTGTTAATGCAAAGTCTGTATAAATAGTGATGGAATCAGCAGTGTATTTGTGATTAAATCCCTTCTGTAATTTCTGATAGTGTTCTCCAGGAGATCTTGGCAACAGCAGCTGTTTGTAGTGACTGTGGTGTCCTGTTTTGCTGCCTTGAAAAGGCGATTTGGGTAGTCTATGAAGCAGGTGCCTTCTGTGTGTCTGCTCTGAGACCCACCAGATGATCCAGAGCTCTGCACAGGGTAGGGGTGTTGCTCTGAAACTACCTGGAGGACCTGACACTAACATAACTGGATGTCTGTCTGTTGTCCCCTTAGGTCCTGTAAGTGAAAGAAGATGGGGTCTGGCTGCCTAAAAGTCACCAAGTATTTCCTCTTCCTCTTCAATCTCCTGTTCCTTGTAAGTATTGTGGGTGTCTGCAGAGCAGAAAGGAAGGCCTGGACTAAAATTAGCTGGTAAGGTGTTTTTCCTGGATGTTGGCCCAGTGTGGCCATTAAATAAAACAGAGTTTTGGAAGGAAGGAGGGAATCCCTGAAGCTGAGGGACATGGGAGCTGCAGTGCAGCTCCCATGTATTTCGAGCAGCTCCACTCCCAGTACCCACTTGCTGTCTCCAGTGCACACAGCTCCCTTCCTGCAGTGGGAAGGGAAAGCAGGAGTTATGTGTCCTTTCTGGAAGAAGAGCAGTTGTAACTACTTTCTCTGTCACACCTGGAGCAGCAGCTAAGCTGCCTCTGAGCAGCAAAGTTACAAAACTCTGCCAAGTAATGGCAGTGCCCTCCTAAATAGGCCAGGCAGGCTTCAAAGTACAACTCTAATTCTGTTCAAGTCCCAGCGGCTGGTTTTGATTTTTAACAAGATGAATTAGTCCAAGTCCCTTATTTGAAATGGAGTTGGGAGGTGGGGGAGACTGGGCCGGGCTTGCTTGGGGAAGTGAGGCAGCCCACTGGATGCAGTTATTTTCAAGTGTGAGACTCAGCAAAAGATTAGCTCCTTTTGGATTAGAGTGGGTCTGGGAGGGCCACACATTCTTGCATGCATCCTTTTGTGAAGTTTAGATATTGTGTGTCATGTAGACAGCAATGATACTGTTGGTGCTACCCTCCTGCAGTGGGGTGGTGTAGTGGGGAAGTATACGGTTTCAGCTTTCCGCATATTGGCAAGAAAATAGCCTGTCTGATATTGTTATCCTTTGTGCAGTGTGTAAGGGGAAGGAAGGACCAGGCTGGGAGGGCAGGGAGGGAAATGGAGCATGATAAGGTGAGCACTGCTTTCTGGTCTCTGTCCCTGCACACAGCTTCACTCTCGCTTCCTGCATTGCTGTGCTGTGCCGCTGGCCCGTGAGCTTGAACGTGAGGCCATTTGGATCTGGTTTCCCTTGGCTTACTCTGCTGGCTCTTTTCTCTCTGTGTTTTGCTTCCATCCTAAGAGTAGTTAGCTCTGGTCTAAGGGCTGAAAGTCAGGGATGTGGGAGGGAGAGGAGAGTTTTTTCAAGTGCCACTAGATCTTCCAGAGTCTGATTTGGTTCACTTTAAGGATAGGAAAAATCTATTTGAGTCAAGGCCTGTCATCCTACTAGTGCAGGATTCCTCTGAAGATGTACTAGCATCCAGGCTATCCCCTCTCTTGAAAAGATGGTACTTCTTAAGCAGTGTATAACTTAACCAGTCCACCCTGGGAAGCAGAGCTGCATTTATTAAGACAGTGTTTGAGTCTTGTTGAAGCGCAGTACCTGAACACTGTCTAGTCTTTTATCCCTGAGCCTAGGTCCAAGTTCATTAGCTAACCTCTGTATAGCGAAAGTTCTCCGAGAAAGCCAGCCTAGCATAGGAGGAAAGGGGAGAGATGACGGCCTGAAATACTACAGTGCCTTACAACACTGCCACTGTTTTTGCTGGATCCTATCAATGGTGTTTGTGGTGTCTCTATTCTATATTGCCCTCTTCTTCCCTTTCTGAGCTAGGCATGGTCAGGGGCAGCCTGCAGGGATAGCTGTGCTGTCAGGAGGCAGACTTGAACTGCTTCATCAGGCTGACCCTCATCTGTGCTGAAAAGCTTTTTCCTGTATTTTGCAAGACACCGGGAGGATGGCAGGCACTGATTCTCTCTGTGGGTCTTGGAGCTTGAGCCCTCCTGTCTGGGTTGCAAGTGATGGAAAGCAGCTGTTCTTTGTCCGGTGCACACCCTGCTCCAAACAAACTCCTCTGGTGTGGCAGCCAGCCCCTTTCCTTCTTGGGGAAAGCTGACCGGATGCACTGAACTGGGTCTGGAGAGTAAGAGTTGTAAGGTGGGGTGTGAGGAGGTCTATGCTGACTGAAGGGAGAAGCTGCTTTAACGAGCTCTTTGCTCAGCCTGCTGTACAGCACAGGCACTGTCTTCCTCTCAGGCTGCTCTGCAGAAGTGGGGTCTCTGAAGCCACTGTGTTCTGGTGGGGAGCTTGATGCTTCTCTAGAGTGAACACTTTGAGCGTGCTTCTGTCTCAACTAATGACAGGCTTTTTGCACGTGCCAGATGTTGAGGAAGTTGGTATCCATTACTCTGTCACTGTCATAGGAGGTAGCTGACATGAGAAGCTTTTTCAGCTACGGTTGTTCAAGATCTGAATGGGGATTCTTGAGCTTATACAGTGTGGTAGATCAGCATTAATCTAGTAGAGGAACTGCTTCTGTTGAGCTGCTGTGAGCTCCCAGCATGGACAGGTTTTGTATACCTAATGCTGGTTTCCCAGCACTGCTGAGTTTTGTTGAGGAGAGTGCTTGCACAAATGTGAATGTTAATGCTGGTGATGGAGTTCTGTCTTCTCTGGACCCTGAGCTGAGCCTCTGTGATTGCACCCTGTGCAGGCCAGCCCTCGCTGTCTGAAGTGTGTTCTCCAGCCTTGCTTGGAGCTGATGAATTAAGCCTTTAGAGACACCAGCGACTCTTTTAGAAGTTAGTCATTGAAATAGCACTTCACTACAGCTCAAGGTCTATGAGAAGGTCCCTTGCTATAGCTGAAGTAGTTCAGGGACTTGGTGGTATTTTGCAGCCTTACTTCGGGGAAGTGTTTGACCTGCTTTGATTAAAGGGAAGAAGGTTATCTGGACTGCATGCGTACTTACTACAAAAGATACCAAAACCATAATCTTGAAGTATAAGCTTAGTTTCTCTAGCCAAAACTTAATGCATCTCCATCTTCTTGAGCAGCAGACATGGGCCACAGCAGATGCTTCTCCTTAAAGGAAAACACTTCTCTTAGTTTCCAGAGACTGCTGAACTTGTCCAGAATATACAACTGTCTATCCTACTTCTTCTGTAAATGGAGCTGAAGGCTACTAACTAAAAGCCTGGAGTTTAAGAGCCTTTCTCTTGGCCCCTGTGCCAGGCTCAGCACTACCTCATGAAGGCAGGCAGTGCTGGGGGAGGACAGTCGAGGACCCCTGGCTGATCTTTCCGGAAAAGTCAGCCAGCTCTACCACAGCTTAGTTCTTCACTGGGCTCTGCTGTGGGAAACTACTGGCCCTGCCTTGAGGGAGCTGCATCCTTCTGGCTTGGGTGTGGAAGGGGATCTTGCTGAAATCAAGGGTGAAATCTCCACCCCCGTGGTGGAGGGTGGACATCATCCTCGCTTTGGGAGTTTAAAGCAGTGGAGCAGAGGAATTAAACTGTGTGGAAGGCAGATGTGATTTCTTCTATGGAGGGTCTGAAGCCAAGCCAGTGGCAAAACCAGCCTCACTATGCTGTGCAAACTCCTGAAGATGCTAAGCAGAGATGCTATCCTGCTAGGACGTAAATATACTGTTAGTTAATAGGATAGTGTTTTCTCCCTGCCTTCCCCTTTTAGTGTTTTCCACAGCAGCTCCTGGCAAATGTGTGAGTCGTGGACTAGAGCAAAGATCAGAGTGAAAACAGGCCTTGGATAGTCTGAGCACCTCATAACAAATAACTTCCCAGGAACTCAGCTCAGCAGCAGTTCTGTGTTTTGTCAGCAACAGCAAAGCTTAGGTGACATTTTAGGGTCAGCAAGCCAAAAGAGATGTCACATACAGCCCGGATTGCATCTTTGTTAAGACAAATATTTTAGTAAGACTACAGTTTAAATGTGAGACTGCCTCAAACTGTAAATTCAGCAGTTCTTGGCAATACCAAGTTTGAGAGGAATTTTTCAGGCGCCACAGCTGTTGCATGTTCAAGGGGCCTTTCTAGTCTGATCAGCAGACTGAGTGCTGCGGTGCAGCATGTTGAGACATAAGGCAAAGGGGAATTCTTGTTACTGCCATCTCGTCTTTATTTCTTTTTCTTTTTTTCCTGGGATACAACAATGACATGCTTTCTGTAGCTAAGTCAGTCGTCTTCATTTGTCTTCAGAGATGGGAACTTGCTTGGTAACTTTCTAATCCTGTCCCCAGAGCTAACTACTTGTTATGTTCTCTGCCAAGCTAGGAAAGCTTGCAAGCAGCTTATTTCAGACTGTTGCTTTATCTTTGCTCAGAAAAGCTTCTTTGTATGAGAGCTGAAACATAGCGTAAATTCTCAAAATGTGGAGCCAATGCTTGTCCATACAGCCCTCTCTGTCAGCTTGCTTCAGGTAGTGGTTTGGCATTTCCCTTGTCTCCCAAATATAGAACATTCTCTAATGAAGCACAGAATTGCCATCTCTCTTAAGCCCTGTCGGTTTATTTAGTATTTCACTTCATCGTGTCTTGAAATCCTGCTGGTGTAAAAACTGCCACCCTCAGTTCGTGTCCTCTGGAAGCATCTCACTTGCACTCCATGTCATTCCTTTGTTTCTTCAAAGTCTGTTTTAGACCTTTGCACAACAAGGGGTTTCCATGCTTTGCCACTTCTAGTTGGGTGAATGGCACAAGTTTCAGCTTCTTATCAAACCTGCAAACTTACAGGCTTCTCAGCATAGTTACTTTGTTATGGGTATAATAGTGCTCTGATCCTAATTTGGGAGCAGGGATCATCTACATGCACACACTTCATAGTGCAGTATAAAACATGATGATATCTGGAAGCTAAAACAGCATATACTCCCTCCCTCCTCCCCCTTTTAAATGAGGTGGGAAAGCTGTATGTCTCTTGCCTTCTCAATTCAGCATCTGGATTCAGCTGAGTCCTCACAGGAACATAGTGCTCTGCTAATCCTTGCCCTAGATAAGACTCTGTGGTGAGAGAGTTAGAGACTATGGGTGATGTTTCATAATGCTTGACTCTCTGGTGGTGGTAAGATGTGTTAGCTTGAGGGGCTGGGGTATTCTGGCATAAAGTAGGGTCCAAGCCAGAATGCCTAAGCCTGGCTTTGGATGGGGCAAAGCACTTCATGCAAAGTGAATGCTGCTGGTTTTTTGGTTGGTTTTGGGGTTTTTTTTGCATTTGTGGGTTCAAGCCATAATAAAGCCATAACAGAGACTGACAAGCCAAAAGTTTCCTTCTTGGGAAGGTTCCAGCTGTCAGATATCTAATCCTTTGGCACCTGGCTCCCAGCCCAGTCCCATAGGGTCAAGGACTTCTCTATTAAAAAAAATAAAATCTTTAAAATCATATGCTAGATGTGTTTGTCCTTCCTAGGTTACTCATAGAAGCTGTGTGCTTACCTTGTACTTCTGACAACAAGGTTCTAGCAGCAGGAGGTCTCTTCCTCAGACTGTTTTGAACAGTCTTCCATGCATCATCTCGTTCTACTAAAATACTGTGAAGGACTGCCAAGCCAGAACCTGGGGCTCCTGTTCAGTTGGCTGAGGCTGTCTTCCTGGAGTCATGCTAATCCTCGTTACTTTGGGAGGAGTACCACGGGGGAGATGAGTGGGAACAGTAAAAGAATGGTTGTTTTTACTCTGGAAGTATGGAAAATGGTGACTGCCTCCTTCTTATTTGCCTAAACTAATAAGCCAGCTATGTATGTTTTGTTCTTGCTCTTTCAGATCCTGGGTGCTGTGATCGTGGGTTTTGGAATATGGATTCTGGCCGACAAAACCAGTTTCATTGCAGTTATACGTAAGACCATGTTTCTTCATCATCTTTTTCCTTCTGAATTGCCTCGAGACCGGGGCTGTGCTTGACTAGTATGGGAATGGCAGTGCTTTTACGCATGGTCTGTGACCTGAGCAGTAACGTGGTATATAGCAAGATGGGACTCTCGGGGACAGGGTGAAAGGGAGTGACCCTGGAGAGGCAGCATTCCTCCTAGTCTTGCGGATTGCAACACCAGAGTCAGACTGAGAGACCATTGCCTCTTCACCCAACAATCCCTAAATGTAGGGAGTAGTATTTTGTCCTATGTTCACTGCATGCTGTGCGTTTCTGCAACAGCTTCCTCATTACCATCCTATCCAAAGCTCTCCAATGCCTTAATGTAGTTTTGCTATGCAAGTCCATTATGTTCTCACTGCTTTCTGTAATGATCAAATTCAATTCAACTGTTTTAAGTGTCAAAGAAAAGAAGGTACCTGGTTTTATTGGTTCTTCACGTACATTGGAAATATCCAGTATGTTTGCTCCTAAGCAGTAGAGGATGCAGATCTGAGGGGGGCGGAAGGTGTGGGGCTGTGAAGTCTTTAATGTTCTGGCTTCTAAAGCACACTGGATTGTACACACTTCATGAGACTTTGCCGGGACATCAGAGATGTTTTGTGTCACTGCATGGGCAAGGGGCCTTCCCCGTGAAGTCAGCCAAGAGCATCAACTTGAGTCTTAACAGAGGGTATGCTTCCTGCAACAACCAAAAAAACTGAGCTGGCAGGGCTGTAAGTGGACTATCACCAAATGAGTAGCTCAACTCTGTCTTCCACAAACTCTGCTTCCTTTGTGCGCTTTCCTAGAGGGTCCTTCAAACTTTTCTGCTCAGTGGGTCTGGTTACCCATTGCCACTATCTCCAGAACGGCTAACCCTGGCACCAGTGTCAGATGTTGCAGGAGGACTGCACGTGCACTGCTTGCAGCCCCAGGGAATAAACAGTAATAGCGTTCATAGCCCTGTTCCCAACTACACTGATCATGCTTTATCTCCCAACGCTTGCTGAACACTGTTGTGGTTTAGCCCAAGCCGGCAGCTAAGCACCATGCAGCTGCTTGCTTATTCCTTCCCCAGGTGGGATGAGGAGGAGAATCAGAAGAAAAAGGTAGAACTTGTGGCTTGGGATAAGGACAGTTAACTAGGACAGCAAAGGAAGAGGCAAATACAGCAGCAATACTTAGAATATACAAAATGGGTGATGCACAATGCCATTTGCTCACCCACAGGGCCCAATGCCCAGCCTTTTCCTGGAGCAACGGCCACTCCTCCCTGGCCAGCTCCCTTTATATACTGAGCATAACGTCTTATGGTATGGAATACCCCTTTGGCTAGTTTGGGGCAGCTGTCCTGGCTGTGTCCCCTCCCAGCTTCTTGTGAAAATCAACTCTATCCCAGCCAAAAACCAGGACAAACACTGGCCTGGCTTTGGAAAGCGCTGGGTGGAGACAACACCCCTACTAATGTCATACACACAGGTACTGCTGCTTGCTCTGTTCGATGTGCTGGGGCATCTGGCTTGCTACTCTAATACTAGCAGGGTGAGAAGCACACTAAGGGCTGTTGGTTAATAAAGTGGGGGCAAGAGTAGAAACATGCTTTTAATACAGGCAGCTGCAAAGGAGCTTACCAGGACCTGGCTGTTTGCAGCACCCCTCTCAGTCTGAGGTGTGTTTGGTACCAGTGGGCCAACAGCTGTACCCCAAAGCTGATGGGTGTTAATAACACTTGTGAAGGTATGAAGTCCCTGAGTTTGGCTCTGCGTCTTCCCATTTTACCCAGAATCTCTGCTAACAGAGCACTTAAGGATTCAGCTTCCTTCCTGGAGACTTCCAGCATCAGCTTTTTCTCCCTGCCCCCTCGCTTCCTTTCCCATGCCTTGCTCCTCTTTTTTCTCTGCTTTAGTAACCTGGGCGTTGGGGAGGGAGCCCGGCACAGCAGGGCACTCCAGCCGCTGCCAAAGGAGCCTGTTGTACTTGCTGGGCTGCCTGCCCAGCGCAGGCGAAAACACGGAGCGATGGCAAACAGAGCAGGAGTCGTCTTGCCAGCAAAGCCTTCTCTTGCAATTCAAGATGCATTGCAGATGAGAAGTGCAAGCACAGCTCCTGTCCCCCTGCTATTGTCGCTTCTCCAAAGGGTTTTTGAATTGGAAATACCTTTTACTTTCTTCTAATAAGTTGACTAAGTAACTGCTTTCTAGCACTGTGGAGGTGCTGCAACCTGGGCACTTGAATGCTTGTGTAATGGCTGAGCAGATTTTTCAGGGAGGGAATAGTGTGGCCTTGTGAAGGCCACTCCTGTAAGGCTGCTGCTTCAGTAAATGCTTTGCAGTATCAGCACCTGATCTGCACAACAAGAGTCCCAGGACTGCTAAGGAAGGAGGAGCAAGATCTTGGGTTTTGTGGCTTATGTCCAGCCAGGGAGAGTCTGACCTGGAAAAGAATCAAGGCTGAAGTGTCTGAAGTGACGTCTGTGTCAAACAGCTCTAGTTCATTTTTTGATAACTGATCTTTTTCATCTGTTTGGCATGTTCTAGGGAAAAAATCTGGAAGCTGGTGACTTGCACCAGGTATCAGAAGTGGGGGAAATGTGTTGCGGGGGACAGTGTTAGTCTGGATTTGGTTACACTCTAGGAGGAGCTCAGAGGAAACTTGCCTCCTGGAACTTCTGTCCAGGAAACTAAATACTGAGCTCTAGGAACATTATTTTCATTAATCATTGGACATCCAGAGTTCCCCTACGCTGTGCAGCTCATGGGTTTAAGAATGTCTCTTAATGATAAATGAGGTTTCTGGTTACTATTTCTAGACAGAGTATCTCTTCAACTTTTATGCCTTAATGCTGGCTCCCTCCAATCCTATTCTGCAAGAAAGTCGTGTAACCAACTGAAACGTAAGAGCTTGTTTCTTCTGTTTCTCGCAGTACTAAATGTTGAGGGGAGAGGATTGACAGCACCAGCATGCCTGAGATAATACTACTTCAACTTGGTTGAAAAACTGTTGAGTGTTCAAGAGCACAGTCATTCCAGACACAATAGCAGGGGATATCTAGGAGGATATGTAAAAGTAGCTAATTTGGGTGTGATACCTGTTTTGATTCTGGGATAGTATCTATTTGCAGGGGGTCATACACATGTGCTCCAACAGCCTGCAGTGAGTGCCTGGCCACCAGCCATTCAACACTGACTTGTCAAGTAACCTGTCACATCATCTATGCTCAACACTAGCTGTAGCTCTCGCATCATGTTTCATTCCATGGAGTTTGTGTCCCACTGTTGACTGCAAGGGTATAAGTAAAAACAGAATGGCTGGAACAAGGAATAGTGCATTAAAGTGAAAAGCCAAACCAAAAAGTTTTTAGGACTTAAAAAAAGCTTCCCTGAGAATAGTGAGGGGAATTGAAGCAAATAGAGAGTAGTTGTGGAGTAGAACATACTTCATCTTACTCTCACTCAAGAGTGCATTCATGAGGGAGTTAACAATCCAGTAAGCAGCTAACTTTCTCCAAACAAGGTTCATTTGTTTAGAGTGACCTTGAGTCTTCCAGGCTCTGAGATAATGGAGATCTGCAGGTTGGGTTTGAAAGTCTCACTTCATCTGAAGACACCCTGAAGCAGCCTTCTGTCACTGTGTTCAACACACTTCTGTGCAGTCTCTTTGTAGAAGACAACAGACTATTCTAAGTGGATATGGAGGCAATTCTGTAAATGGTGATGGCGGACGTACTTTTTGTCAGTAGCTAACTTTGTTCCCTCTCCTGGCCCCTACAGAGATGTCATCTCCCTCCCTGAAGACTGGTGCATACATCTTCATCGGTGCTGGGGCTCTCACCATGCTGATGGGGTTCCTGGGCTGTCTTGGAGCAGTCAATGAAATCCGATGTCTCTTGGGTCTGGTGAGAGAATTCATGCTATGTTTTAGATCCACCCTTTAATACCTCTCCTGCAAAATATGTTGGATTGTAGGTGGGGCTCAGGTCTCCTGGGTATGGTACTTCTGCTAAGTCAACTTAGATCCAATTCTTAATTTGCACACATTAAATTCTCCAGCAGTCAACAGGCTGCAGCAGCAGTTTCCCTGACATTACTGATGATGAGCTAAAAACTCTGCAAGATGAGAGAGGATGTCACTGACACTTCCTGCAAACAGTGGGTTGAGGACTACCAACTGAGGAGAGATGTCTCAGGTGACCATGTACCTTGTCCCCCCACCCCAACTTCCCAGTTGGCATTGTGCTCTCAATGATGCAAGGACAAGTATCAAGGGCAGTGAGAGGGAAGAGTAAGAGTGAGTGTGTCCTGCTGTGCTGCAAAGTCCAGCTTCTGTGGAAAGTGCAAGGGTCGAGAGAGACTTGACTAGGAATGTTCTGTATGTCAGGACCTTTCTTCAAATGGTTCATCTATAGGAAATTTTCTGTCTGTGATGGATGAGATGACATATACCTTGGCCTGCTACTTGACTCCTACTTATGCAGAGCACATGTATAGGAAACCAAGTATGGCCACATTGTGTGTCCTACATCTCCTAATGTAACGGTAATAGCTGCCACTGTTTAAAAGTAACCTCAGATGTCAAATTTTCCTTCAAGCAGTTTGCTGGTGAATCTTAAATTTAGATCCTCAAACAAATATATTTTTTTTAAAAAGGTAATTGGCTGTAAAAATAATTAAAAAAAAAAAAGGCTTGTAAAATTGACTTTTCTTGCTGTGGAGGCTTGAGGTAGGCAGAATCCAAATGACTGAGGTCAGAGCAGACTGGGAATGGAGCTGGAGTGGGAGAGGGAGCCCTGCACTAGTCTGATGTAGGTGCTTGTCCTTAAGCCTTTTACTGAGGAGAGTATTGTTGATAGCATAGCTTGTCTGCAGGCAAAGGTGTTGGCTCAATGACAACTTCTGTATATGAATTCTTACTAAAACTTGTGCTATTATGTACAGACCTTTCTAAAGGCTGATAGTAGTCTTCTCTTTTGTTTCCAGTACTTCACCTGCCTGATGGTAATCCTCATAACTCAGGTTGCTGCTGGACTGGTCATCTACTTCCACGAAGAAGTGGTAAGAGTTTCTTACTGTGCATGTTTTCCTTGGTCTTGGTTTGGGGGAACAGGAGACACATGGAAATTCTTTCTTCCAAACTGGGCTGTACTGTTACCAGACATAACTGGATTCTACTTTCTGCTACTGCAGCTCAGCAGCTTTGCTGTGTGGTTTGCTGCTTCTGTATCTGCCAGCCTCAGTAGTACTACTTTCTCAAGGATTATGAAGCTCTGTTTGGTATGCAGGCTTTATTTTTGGGTAGTGGGAACAGTAAAAGGAAATTCCTGAAAGGCTTTTGACCACATCTCCTCTTGATCCTGCTGCAGACTACTATTTGGGCATGTAGCAGCAGTGATTCCTGTTACCATCACTGGTGCCTTGAGGGGTTACCAGCCTGAGTGATTGCTTTTCTGACTGGCCTCCTTCCTTGTGTCATCTTGTTCCATCCTTCCAGTGCTTCTGCATCTGTATGTAAAACTCTCCTTGGAAGAGCTGTCCTTTTTCCCCAAGAGCAAACCCAAGTAGCTGACAGTTCCTGTACTACAGTTTGAGCTTAAAGCCAAGTGGTTTAACATTTTGAAGTGGATCTCTTTGTCAGGAATGCAGTTTCACAGCGTATGCTTCTAGAGCTCCAACAGGCTTGGTAGTGTAAAGGGAATAACTTTTGAGCTACTTAAGTGCATTGCAACAGCCTGTCCTGGCTATAGGTTCCCTGGCCAGGGCAGTGCCCGGTCAGGCCTCCAGCTGTGTGACAGCTGAACTGGAAGCCACATTCACACAGTGGGAGTAAGTTATAATTGTGGAGTCCCTGCTGGCTTCTGTCCTGGTATGCAGGCATCTGGTACCAGTTGTGGGTAACGCTGTCCTTTGCATATAACTGTATATCTATACCACTGCGTGGCTGTGCTTGCTTCTCCTAAGCCAACCCTACTGCTAGGTGGTTACAGAAAGCAAATGGTTGAGGAAGTTATGGATGGGGCCTGCTGGTGAAGTTTGGGGGTGGGAGGAGGTGCCTGCCCTCAGCGTAGCTGATATGAACTTTGTGCAAGTGGCTGTGAGCCACTGTTGGCTGGGTTCCTTGTCAAATGTGGTGTGAATGTAGCTTGCCCTCTGGGCTGGCTGGAGATAAAGGAGAAACTGAAACGTTGGCTAGCTGGTGTGTAAAGTTACAGCTTTAAACAAGCTGCTGATTCTCAACAAAAAAATCTGACTAATGCAGAGGAGGAGGTGTGGGGATGGGCATTTCCCTGCAATGGGGAAATAGGACTTTTTGGACCATGAATTTCCATACCTCCGTTGGTATTTCTCCTCTAGCTGTCACTCTACTCTAGAAAACTCCAGCTTTTGAGCTGTAGCTCTTCATTTGAACCTCAATTAGACGAGGGAGAGAATGAAGTGCTGGGGGTTATTCTGCACAGCCTTTGGAGCCGATGTGGCTGAGATCATTACTTGTACGGATCCAGCAGAACGGTAGGGGAAGCTGGGCTTTGAACAGATGCTCCTGTTCAGTCCTCAGTGAATGAGAGTTATGGAAAAGCTCTTCTAGAGCCCTTCTGTTTCAGGGGTCCTCTGAAGTACCTGCCTTGAGCACTAAGAAAAACTGTTTCAGGAAGGTCTTGGCTGAAATCTCCCACACCCTGGTTTGTGGTTGTGCTTCAGTGGACATCGCTCTGCTTCACTTGATGTACGTCATCCCAGAGCAGCTCAGAGCACAGCGAAGCAAACCGAAAACTGCTCAAGATTGAGTCCCTAGATGTCTATTGTGTTTTTTGTGTGTGTTTTGTTTCTTTCTGACTTCAGGAACTTGGTTAGATATAAAACAAGGAATAACAAGAGTGGAGGAAAGGATCTTGGATCCAGAATGTAGCAAGGTGATACTCCTCCACTTCTTGTAACTGAAGTATTTATTTCTGCACTGCAGGAGAGTAGACAGGATTATTGTTGTACTTCTCTACCCTTTTCTTGATTAGTAGCTACTGAATAGACGGGGGTTTTTTGTTGGAATATTTGTTTCTTTTCGGTGTCAAAATCCTTCCTGACCCCTGACATATGAAAGTATGCTGAAATAGAGTTAGTGCAACTAAGAGGCTGAGTTTCTGACAGGAAGGATGCTCCTTTGCATCCCCCATGGGCATTGCTAGAGGAATGCCCCCTCAGACTGGAATTGCCCAGTACTACTGGGAGGATGTTGATGCAACATCTGTTTCCTTACCTCTGTTGGTGACTGAAACTGTGTGGTAGGGTGGGATTTTTTGAGAGTCAACGAAATAGTAATGTCACAAATGTTGCAAATGGCATTCTGCTTTGTGAGCTGAATGTTGCTACTCGCCTACATGTAGTGGATCACAAGCCCCTAAACCTAGAGAGCCTGAGCAGGGTCTCTCTTGGCCTAGTTCACACAGTTATCTGCAGCTTGGTTCTAAGTGCCTTGAGGAAGGAGAGCAGTGGTCTTCTGGGAATTGCCCTACTTGCTAGCTATTGTTTGCAGCAAACAGGCCTGTGTGATTGCATGCAGTGACTTGCCTGGGGCTATGGACTATGCATTAGTTTCAGAATCTGAAATGACTGGAGAGGTGAGACCCCCTCTCCTGTTTTTTTTTTTTGAGCCTGTTTTCATGTGCAGGTTAGATGCTAATAAATGCTGGGAGAAGGATCTAGCTTGAGCCTCGGACAGAGGGACAGGATAGATGACCAATGGTGTGTGACAGGGGAAGAAGCTTGCATGATTCATTCTGAGGCTGGAATCAAAGACCTATGCTCTTGCCTCTGGTGTTGAGCTTTCCCCAGCTCTTTCTTCAGTAAGCCTGTGTGAAGGGGAGACTGACAGCCCTGCTGCTTTCTGGCAGTGATCCGTGGCTTTGGTGCCTAGGCTTTGAATGTCCCTGCTGTGGGGTGGTGGGGTTGTGCCTTCTGACACCAGGCTAGCTAGAGCTGGGAAGCAGCAGGAGCCCAGAAGGCAAGGGTAGCGATTTCTTGGAGCAGTTATGCTCTACACAGCATTGGCTTTAAATGGGTGAAGACAGTGAGGATGTTGAAAGCCTGCCTAAGTGTTCAATATACCTTTCTAGCTTATTGCTCTTTCAGTTTTCTTCTGCCAAGTGCGGAAGGATAATCAGCTGCAGGTGCCTGTGTTTCCCCTTTGGGCTGCTCTGCCGGTTAAACCCGTGAACAAGCTGTCTCTCTGTGTACTCTCCAGAGCTGTGCTATTGTTTGCATAATATTTCCCCTTTCTCCAATTACTCCCTGAAACACCTAAGAATACCTGAGGTTTTCTTTAACTGAAACACCTAATTTTTTGAAACCAGAGCTGTTTGTAAGGCTTCTTGCCTGTTCTTGTGTAAGAGTAGAGGAAGAGCAGAGATAGAGCTTCCCTATGCAGCTGTGATTGGGAATATCTAGTTCAGGCCCTGTCTCTGCTTGTAGTGGGGTCCTGGGATGGAGAAGAGAGGCACTGCCTGGGATTCTTGCAGAAGTGACCCTAGGCTCCATCTGGCCTAATAGCTAAGCGGCCAGATGGGCCCAGAGCAGGACAACAAACCCAGCTCTGCTTGCCTCCCCCTGTGCGTGTGGAGTAGCAGTGTGTGGGAGGGGTGAGGGTGGGAACTCAGAGGTTCAGTAACTGATAAGGCTTATGGCAGCAGCTAAGGCCAATCTCTTTAGTGAGAACCAGGTCAAGTTGCCCTGATTTGAAGGGAAGGAAAAGGGGAAGCAAAGTAATTAAAAGGGGAAGAGCTAGACATCATGAGAAGAAAGATCATGCAGCTCCCATCTGTCTGGCCTGACATAGCTGATCCCAGTGAGCTGAGCTGCATTTTTCCTAGGAAGCAGAGTTGCTGATATAGAGAAGCTTCTCTCTGGCACTACACACTGCTTCCTCTTGCTGGGTGTCCCTGCATTTGCCATGGTCATTCTTAACAGCAAAAGGAAAAATAATTTCCACTGATTTGAAATACGCCGTAGCACCACAGACAAAAAGGTAATACATGGGGTGTGAGCATCCTAGCATTCAGGCTGATGTAACTCTGTCCCATCCCTCAAGCAGTCTAATGACACTTCTCTCCAGCCTCTTGTGATCTGTGTCTGTCCTTAGCATTAACAGCTCTTCTCATGTATAGGCTGGCTGAGAAGAGCTTCAGAAGGAGGTGGGAGGAAGAAGGTGAAGGAGTCTGCTGGGTGGTAGCTTGCACCTCTTATCAGACTGAAAGGTGTGCTAAATATCTCTGGTTAAGGAATGTGGGTGAAGGGATGATACCTGAGCTTTGTGATAACTGTTGTAGTACTTCCTGTCTTAATATAGAAGCAGCAGTTGTAGGAGTTTGGGGAGAGGTTGATCAATGCCTTGTGAAAAAGGGAAGTTTCCACCAGCTGTGTGTCAGAAAACCCAGCTGCACACAGGAGCAGTGACTCATACCTTCCCTGAGCACTGGAGATGAACTGCAGTGACCGAGATTCTGGACCAGAGTCTCACTTGCAGTACGAGGTTAGGAATATGTTACCTGCGAGTACTTAAGGCAATGTTGTCTTTCAGCTTACACTTATCTTTCACCTCTGTCTCATCTGGAGCAGGCAGCAGTTGTTCAGCCTGTGTCTTTCCAGGATAACCATACCCAGTTCTGTTTCATTATTGCTTGTCAGGTTTGTAGCCCTTCTCTGTGCCTGGGCAAGGACTTGCTAGGAAGTACCACTGCTTTGGTTGTTGCATTGCATAGTGAAGCTGCTGTCTTACCTTCCCTTCAAGACTGAGACTGTATGTATCACCTTATCTGTACTTGTTACTTTTTGGACTCGGCTTTTTTTGAGTGACTGCAGTTGCATATAACACTTCTGAAGAGATATAGTTTGTGCTTTGTACAATTGTTTTACTATTTTCCTGTCTCTCCTGGAAGGATTTTCCTGATGTGTACTAAGACTGTTTCTGTTCTCTGATTCTGGACTACTGGAGCCTGTAGGGCTGGCTGTTTGTTTTGTGGCCACCAAGCATCCCAAGTTTTTCTGTGGTAGATCTCTAGTTGTCCTCCATACACTATAACACTTATTTGCTCAGGACTCCACAACTGGTTTCTTGTGAGTTCAACTTATTTTCCTGTCTATTCTGATCTTAAGGGGATGCATGATTGCTCAGTCTGATGTATGAACTTCTCTGTGTATCAAATGTGCTCCTCATCAACACTGTAACAAGCATAATGCTGTACTGAATAAGCAAAGGAATTTATTCTAAGCCTCAACTTCTGAGGAACCTGAGTAGCAGTCTCCCATCTGCTTAATAAGCTTGACAAGAAACTGATTGGGGGAGGAAATGGGGATCTAGAATTAACTCATTTTCTCTAGAATACCTTTCCTCTTACACAGCAGCAGGCCATGCAACATTGAAAGCTAGGGTGGTTATGTTGTGTTTACTTCTGCCTTGAAACAAACTTTCTTAGCAAGAAATGCTACCTGGTCATCCTAGTGAGACTTTATCTTGGTAAACCCATTCTATATTTCATCCTGTTGATCGTATTTATTGCCTCTTCTCAAAAGCATAGACAAGACTGCAGAGTAACGTATTTGAAGGTCAGTCTGGGGGATTTGTCACTGCGCGATTGCTTTTTTTCTTTTAAACATTGCTTTATGTGCCAATTAAATGCTCATTTTACAAAGACTTCAGTCATGGTTCATTCTGTTTGTCTTCTTGCTATAACTTAAAAATAGCTGTATTGTGGGAGTGGGGTAGCCTGAGCACTTGCTACTGTTTCCTTCAGATCCTTTGGAGAGGTCTAAGCAGAAGCTACTGCCCGTTCTACTTCTTTTTGCAGTGCTTGTAATCTCTATCTGTAGTTTGTCTCTGCTCTAGCCTCATTCACTGGAGCTAGAGCAAAGTAAAATGTTTTCACACTCATGACAATGATGAGCCCATTTTTTCCCCACTGTGGGGAAGGTGGACCCACAGCAGGACTTACACAGGTGATAGGGAGAGGTGCTATGTACCCTAAGCCCCAAAGAAGAGGCTACAAAGAATTAACTAATATAACTCTCCTGCCTTTTTTTCCTTGCCAGCTGAAAGAAGAGTTGTCCCACATAGCTCGAATTCTGATTAAAAATTATGACCCTTTGAATGATGATAAGAGGAACTCACAAGATGCATGGGACTATGTGCAAACACAGGTGAGTCATGGGGGAGGCAGGGGAGCAGCCAGAGGCAGATGATGCTATTTGTCAGTGCAATAAATGGTCTTTAAAACTAGGCAGAGGACAGGGAAATTGGTATTGCAAGAGGCAGTACTGTAGCATGTTGATCTGGCTGATCTATGAAGTTGCCTGTGAGGTTTGGTGCCTGCATACTAGAAAACTGTCTTGCTATTGCTAGGTAAGACCCAGAACCATTCCTAGTAGCTAGTATTGGCTGCATAGCCTAATGTATCTGGCCTATCAAATGGCACCCCAACACTTCTCCTTGTCTGCAAGGCCTCCAGAATACTATATGTGTGAAAGCCACAATGCATGCTATTTTTGTAGCAAGTAAAGTCCCTAGCTTATTGCCAGGCAAGTCAGCAGGACTGTCTGCCTTACTACGTGGTGCGTGTTGCTTGCTTATTGTGAGGGCTCTTCCGCAAGAGTAAGCGTTCTTGGGAGCCATCCAACCGTCCATGATTTCTGTTTTAGCATCAGGGTCAGTGCTTGAGCAACTAGGTCAGTGCTCAGGCACACTGGAGTCATGATAGCTGTTCACTGCCAAACCACAAGCTTGAGAGCTTGCTGGCTGTTGTGGTTAAATACATGCGCAGTGTGGGACTGGTGTGCAGTAAGTACAAGTAATAGCATTTTTTTTTTCAGTCTGTAAAACACTGACCTGCAGTATTTCCCCTCCTTGGAGGGAGAATGATTTATTTATGTTTTACCACTGTAGCTGCATCTACTTGCTAGGGAACTCAAGAAGGCTGAGTCTACTGTGGAGAGAGGATCCTGCTTGAGGCCTTCTTTTATGTAGGAACAGAAGGAGGAGGTTTTGTGGAGGTGGAGAAGTCTAATTCCTCTCATACACTACAGTTAGCATTTGAAAAAGGGTGGGTGTTCTGTAGACCAGTCTTGGAGTTAAAGTCCAAACCTCTGTGAGGCAGAGGTAGTTCCTTCTGGAGGCTGGATCTGCAACACTTGTTTGGAAACCAAATGCTCGTCCTGGTGTGGGTATCCAGCTGTCTACTTCTGCTCTTGTGTCCATTATGTCAGACTGAAACATTACACTTTCTTTCTGAGCAGGGGGGGATTTTCCCTAAACTTCCACCTCAAGTTTGATAGCCTTTCTGCTCTGTACCACCGTGCAAGTACTGGGATCCATGTGTAAGATCTTGGTCTTTGCTGGACTTCCCGATGTGCTTTCCCCTCCAGCAACTGCAGTTTTACCACGTGGCTGTATAGGAATGTAAATGTTTCTTCGGATGGAAAACTTTCCTCATCCCATCTTCCAGCCAGCCCGGATTGCAGCCAGGCGGGCGCAAACTTGCTGTGACTCGCTGGGGTTTGGCAGCATGTCGACGCCATCGTGTGGTGGCTGCTGGTGGCCCTCAAGAGCCACAGCTGAGAAGTGGTACCTTGCAATGAAAAGTTCCTGCTGCGTGTCTGCTCAAAAAATGTGTGCTACTCAAAGAAAAATAGTCTAGCACTTAAACCTATGGAAATGACATTGCTAGTGGAAGACTAGGTAGTAATCCTTTTGAGATGTCTTTGAATACATGGGATATCTTGTCAACACATTAATCTCTTGCCTGCCTTGCTTCTCCCTCGCCAAATCAATCTGCTGACAATTAACTGGAGGGACTGAAAAAATTCTCAAACATGTCACACAGGACAACTGCCTTCCTCCTGCTGACCCACCAGCAGCATCTGTTTTGTACTTTTACTTCTGTTTAGCATTGTCACCTGGAGATAAGATGAGGTTTGCCAGTATTTAGTTTGCAAAAACTAATCAAAATTACATTCTATAGAATTGATGTCAAGCTGTGTGGCCTGCTGAAATCTGAGTATCTAGGCCTCATGTAGTAAGGCTGGTGAAGGATACATATACCAGTATGACTGGTGTGCTAGAACTTTATGGATGGCCTGTGCTTGTTATAGTCAACTTATGCTAAAAGTCTGCTGGAAGTGGCCCTATAACTCTTGTCTTGCTAGCAGAGTCATTCTTGGATAGTAAATAATGCCCTGTATTCTGGACAGCCCTATGCATAGGTTATCATCTGGTAATCATGGCAATGTTGTAATGTAACTAATTCATGCAAACTGTATGGCCAGACTGTTGTTACACGGAGAACTCCTGTGTACTTCTACCTCCACTGCCTGTTTGTTTTCATGAGCAGTATGTTTCTAGTGCTAAGTGTAATACCATGATGATGATGTGTGTCTCTCTCTCTCTGCTTATTAGATTGCCTGCTGTGGCTGGGCTGGAGCAAAGGACTGGGAAAGTAATGAGATTCTTATCAACCGAAGCATGACTGCATATCCCTGCTCCTGCTCCAATAGCTCCAGGGAATTTGAGGTATATAGCGGTTTCTGTAATCTGGATGACCCTGTCAATGGCACTGCAACGTATGCTGACTGGCCTGTTCACAAGCAGGTGAGTGGGCATGTATGGGCCCTGTGAAGCTTCTACTGAAGTCGCCTTGTCTTTGTTCCTCTGGGAATTATTTAGAGCACTATTTTTATGTCAGTATTGCTTCAAGTACCTGTGGAAATGGGGACAAGAGGGGACAAGGATCCTTCCCTTTTTTGCTAAAGCTACTGTGAAACTTGGTATAGCATGTAACTGGGATAATCTTTGCATGCACAAGGAGATGTGTTATGGATTTTTTCAGTCTTCAGATACTTAGATCTGAGCTTCTTTCCCTTGTGACCATGTTTTCTCCATAGGGATGCATGGATGGTGCAGAGAAGTGGTTGAAGGACAACCTTGGTATCATTCTTGGGGTTTGCACTGGTGTTGCTGTTATAGAGGTAAGTCACTCCTTGATGTGAACTTATACTGTCTTATCACAGACTCTTCTAAAGGTAAAGCTATTTTCCCAAGTGATAGACACCTGGTTCAGTGGCAGTGCAGTTCTAGCTCTTAGTTGTGTCTACCTGGAGCTTTGAACTGCTGCTTTCATTGGTTGGATTAGAACTTGAACAAAGCCTTATCTACTTGTGGTTCCTGCTGCTGTGTCTGACGCTTGGCAATTCACTGCATGCGTAACCAGGAAGAATGAGACAAGTGAGATCCCACTTGCTGCCCTAGAAAGCCCATAGCATAGATTCTAGATGAAGGCACATCTTTTTTGCAGCAAAATATTTTTGTCATCCTGATTATTGCATTTTCCTTGCATTGGGGACCAACTCTGTTCACTTGTGTGGTGTTAAGGAGACCACTGTATTCTGCTCCCCTGTAGCACCCTTTCTTCCCATCTTATCTGTCTGGTTGCTGATTTTGTTCCCGTTCTTCATTACTTATTCCAGCTGTTGGGGATGATACTGTCCATTTCACTCTGCAAGAACATACACAGTGAAGACTACACCAAAGTGCCCAAGTCTTGAGTTGGCTGACTCCAGAGCTACGGCAACAGAGAAAGGAGCAAACAGAACATTCCTGCCTCTTACCCAGACTGTCCAACCATTGACCATGATTCCTGTGACATCCCATTTCTGATACCACTCTGCTAAGAACTGTTAGAACTGCAATACAGCCTGATCTTCTGGCAATAGGGCCCTTGGGCCACCTGCATCCTGCCTCTGGATTATTTCTATTTCAAGAAGCAGAACTTAACTGTCTCATATCACATGAGACACCGATTAACCTGAGGGGACAGTGCTTTTGCTGCCTGCTCCATGTTAAACAGTACTATTCGTATCTCCATTCTACAACCCACTGGACCTAACATACAATAACTCCTCTCCCCCCTCATTCTCCTCCCACACAACTTTTCCCCTGCCCCCCAAAAGTCCCATGTCTTTTTCTCATGAGCCAGGATTGCTGTTGAGATTCCAGTGCTTTAGTAGCTTCACCTACTTCACTGACTTGTGGTGGTAACTGGTTGTGCTTTATAGGCCTTCTCCTCCCTTGCAGTTAACCTGATTCAGCTCCTACCATGCATCTTCCAGTCTAGGCTCTCATCTGAAATATCAAGCACTACCCTCATACTTGCTTCTCCTGCTTCTGAAGTCAGCTATGCCTTGCCTTCAGTAGAGCTCTTCCCTTCAAGCATGATGAGAAGCTACCAGGAGGGAGCCAAGCCTACCTATTTCTAGGGTGGCCTGGCAGATTGTAGGGGTGGTGCTCGGCTGCTTCTGGAATGGGTCCCTTGGGTTCTGGATTTGACACTTACATGTTTCTCCCACTTGCCTCTTTACCTTTTCCTCTCCCCCAGCACTGCTTTGCTGGTTCCTGTCAGCTTGGAGGCACTTCAGAGACTGCTGCATAGTGTGGTCTCAGCCCCAGGCTGACTCTGCTGGTTGCAGTCTTGGGTTGCCAACTTCTATAGAGGTTACGATTAACTTGGTTCTTCCCCTGCCCACTTTATGAACATAAAATTTTTTAGCTATGGTTTTTGAGTATGGAGGGATCTGACTTGATTGCCGACACTGTATATTGGAGATATCACTGCTACCAGTGTCTGGTTTAGGTTCTGTAGTTTGGATGCAAGGATAAGTTGCTTTTATTTCAGTTGTCCAGTCTTTGACTCTTCTGTGGTCTGGAGCCATGGCTGTGTCCTGAGCTCTGTCTCAAGTGTAAGCACTGCAGCAGATAAGTAGCTGGTTCTGCAATCATGCAGGCTGGGTGGTCTCTGTACTTAATGGCTGGGCTGTTTGCTCTATTCAGCCAGTGGCCAGCAGCAAGGAGTGATGTAGAGCAGAAGTAAGTAGGAAATATACGTGAAAAACTGCCCCAACTTCTTAGATAAGGGAGCTGGGTGCAAATCCTCAGTCTTAGAGGTGGCTAGGGCACAACAGATTGCCTGCAGTTGCACATGTGTGCAATCACCCTGACAGCAGGAAGCTGTATGAGGGAGAAGTGGATGGTCCTTGCCTGAGGCCTGATACAAGGTACTTGGTGAGAGAGCTTTTGCCTTACACAGGTGGTCCCAGGACTGTCTCTTGTCAGGGGTGGGGTTGGTAGGAATAACCCTAGTAGCAGTTCAAAGGGATGGCTTCACTACCTACTCAGTTTTCCTTCTGGGAAGAAGGGCTCATGCAGGGGGTCAGGGACCCAGCAGTGGATCCCTGCTCTGTCCTTATCTTTGGACACAGCAGTGATTGGGGAGAGTAGATATGACTGGGCAACTGGTTTTTATGGAAGTCTGATAAGGCTTTGCTATTTCGAGACACCTGCCACCTCCTGCACAGATCCTTCAAGCTGACCTTTGCTATAGCAGAAGGCACCCTTCTTAGCAGTAAAGCTTGCTAGCTTTTGTAGCACAAAGTCTATTCTCTAATGTGTTCTTACTTGTAAGATTCTTGTTGATTTGTAAGATGCCAATGCTGAGCAGCAAATAAAAAGGAGCCCATGCTGGGTTTCCTTTTTTTTGTCTGTTTTTAGCAACATCTTCCTACTGGAAGAAATGCATGTACAGATGCAGTCTAGAGGGTGAATATTTCTGTAATAAAGACTTTGCTAAAAAAATACATCTCTGCCTATGAATTGTGCATTGCAGTGGTTTTCCCCTTGCTTCCTCTCCACTCCTTTGGGCTTACGTGGAGACCACTGACACCTTGTTTTTTCAAGTTAGCAAAGGGCCTGTAAGAAGGTGTTCTGAGGCCAACATGTGAGATGGATGTTGACTGGGAAGATACTGCCCAGCCGTGGGAGGTGACAATATAGCCTTTCTAGGCTATATTCTAGAGTAAACTTTGCCTTGTTTTATGAAGGATGTCTGTCCTAGGGTGAACTGACTGAGTGGTAGTTCCTTTGAATTACCTGCTATCTCCTAAGCTAAGTGATCTCTGTTTTGGAAGATGTCGCTTCAAATCTCTACAGTCTGCACTGTATGAAGTCATAAGCCTCAGAGACTGACAAAACATAAGCTTGCTGCTATACCCACAGTGCATACAGCTCTTGCTAGCTTAGCTTTACCGTTTTTACTTCTACCTACTCACCTTCAGTAGGATCCTCCCTCCAGGCTGCTATTTCAAAAAAAAGATTTCTCAGCCCCTGCCCTGCCACTGTGAGGAGGAAGCAAGCTGAGGTAGCCATTTTTGTAGGTTATGCCACCACATGCTGGGCTTGACTGTTTGAAAGGCTCTTGAGAAGTAGGTAGAGCAACTGTATGAATCTTGTTGCTTCTTTCAGCTAAGCAGTTGAGAAGTAGGTATGAGCTGGAGCTCAAAATTCCTTCAGATCCTTCTCTGTGGTGGTGTGTCTGGCCATTTAAGATGGCTGTCTTTAGAAGGACCTATGTTAGTGTGCTATTGAAGTCTGGAGCTCTTGCTTCAGGAAGTAATGAGCATGACCTAAGTCCTCATACATGTTTGAAGAAACAGTGAAGCTTGCAGAGAAGAAGGTGCTGGGGTGCTACCAGCAAACACTGGTGGGAACTAGTCTAAAGTCAAGAATTCAGTACCCTGACCAGCTGAGTGCAGAGTGAGATGCACTGAAATGGATCCTGGACCAGCAGTAGGGTGCAATGATCTGTCTGATCTGTGAGTACAACTTGTTCACTGGGCTGTCCTTGAGGGGAGCTTGATTCTTGGTCATATGGGATGTCCCCTCTTTCTACTTGGTTTCCCAGAGCATCCTGCTTTAATCAGGTGGCAATACTTTCCCAGGGCCTCACTATTTAGAGGGCTACACTTCATGGCAAAGCTGCCAAACCTGACCAGATGGCTGCTAGGTGGGGAAGGGCACTGCTGGTTCTCCTTCAGCCTGATGTGGAGCCGGAAGGAGAAAGGCGGGAAGGTGAGGACTACTGCTTGTCCCCAACTGCCCGAGCTCTGTGGAAACCACTTGCTTTTGGCCACTGGAGGGAGGTGTTCCATCAAGAAAACTCAGCCTGAGTGCTGTAGTATCAGCAGCGTGGGCTGGTCCCTGGGGGACAAGATGATGACACTCATAGCTTCCTTCTGCTCCTAGTTACTCCTGGCAGCAGGGTAGCTAAAATAACTTGTAATTACAAATGTATTCTCCTCGTAAATGATTTGTGCTGCATACTTGGCATTTTTAGGGATAATTTTCCCTTCCATTTCTTAGAGCAGCACACAGTTGGATACTTTGTTGCATGTCTTCTACTGCTGTATATGGGATGTGCTTGCTTCTTGGGTTTCTGCCCGAAGTAGCTCTGGAAGTTGAAGATAGCATGAGGAGCTGCTTCTTTTTGTCCCCATTTTTCCTGTTTCACTCCACCCTCAGTTTCTTTGTGTGGTCATTCTAGGGGGAAGGAGGGGGCATTTGATGCTTAGGAACCTGATCTAAAAAAGGATTCCAGGAAGAAAGTCCTCAGACCTTCAGAGGGCAAAAATCTGCTGCTGCTCCTTGGGCCAGGCTCCCAGCTCGTCTCCAGAGATAAAGGTTTGCTGCTGGAACTAGAAATCAGAATAGCACTCATGCTTCTTGGGAGCTGCAATGTTTGTCTAGTAAAACCCACCATGCCAGCCTCTGCAGTAGCTCAGCACATGGAAGCATTTTGTCTGTAACCAATAAGCTACTATATAACTGTCCCAGGCCAATAATTAATATTGCAAGGATATAGTTGTGACCTCCTTGTGGCCTTAAGCAAGGCCCCTAGTAATGAACTGGTAACATTCCTCCTTCTGTGTGATCATGAGGAACTCAGAAGCTGCTATAATTCTTCCCATGACAGTTTTTTTTCATTCTAGAAAGGGAAGAGGAACTGCATTAGAGTGGGTGTGGATAAGCCTATAGGTTACAATGTGTCTTGTTTTCTGTGATGGTTTCTGCATGGCACATATTCAAATGTAACATGTGGCAGCTCTTCTTTTCTCTGTAACTCTCCCATGTGTGGTGGTGTGGCTGGTCCCTGCTGGCTTTGCCCAGGGGTTGAGGCTGATTTTGGTAGACGTGAGAAAAGGTCTGATTTCTGGCTGCTGAAGAACAGACTGCAAGCGGTGGTGTCAGACTCCATGATTTGGTTGGGGAAGGTGAGGAACAGCAGCCACAGGGGCTCATTGCTGAAAAGCCTGAGGACCCTGGGATTCCCACAAATGGATTTTCACAGCCAGTTGCTGCCACTCAATGCCATAAATGGAGAACATACCTTCAATTATTCATGGTCTGGCTCTAACCCATTAGCCTCTGAGACTCTTGGCTCTAGCCTTGGCCTTTTATTACAAAGAATAAACCTCAGTTAGCAGCCAGGATTTCTGAATGACATCTTAAGCCAAGTTGATGCTAAAACCTGTCAGTGTAAAATCTACTAGCATGGAAGTCTTCAAATACTTGTAAGCTGGCACAAGGTCCCTAGCAGAAACAGTGCTATTAGTGAACCAAAGCTATTAGTCAAATGGTGCTAGTAAAGCTAAGTGTGCTTTAGCCATTATAAATGGTTTCTAGCAGGCATGTGCTGGTAGAGCACATGCAATTTCTTGCCTTGTGGCTAAAATCTTTTCTGCCAAACATGGGAAATTACCTTCTCCTAAGTAGATTGTGTAACCCTAGCCATACGTTCTTACTTCTCATGGGTATGAATTTTCTGGTTTCTCCCTTCTAACTTCCTAATACAATTGGCTGGGCTGTGTGTGTGAGCTGTTTGGCTTTTGTGGGGAGGGATTAAGGGAATATTGGATGCTCTGTATCTGGAGAAAAGGTATTCTCAGTTCTCCAGGCAAAAATGTTACCCCAACTTAAAATAGGGGTTTAAGAGAAGTATAAGGCTCCAAGTAGTATATGGATGCTCTAAGAGGCATGGAATCTGAGAGGGAAAATCCTGCTTTAGCCCCTAAGGATGGTATTTGCACACACTTGAATTAAATTTCTCTTTGGTGTTGTCTTTCCTGTACCTCTCTCACTAATGAATGGCATCATGAGGTGAATTGTGTCCCCACAATAATCCAGAGTTAAGCAGAAAATGCAGAAACCTACTTCTGTAACCACAACAGGCCCCATCTCTAGGAAACTAGAGAGCATTTCCCTTCCCTCCTACAGGCTTCAGATGTGAGTAACTCCCATTC